TATGTTGAGATACATTCTGTCTGTACCTAATTTATAAAGGGTCTTTGTCATGAATGAGTGTTGGATTTTATCAAATGCTTTTTCGGCATCAATAGAGATGATCATATGGTCCTTGTGTTTGATTTTATTAATATTAGATTACCTTAATGGGCATTCAAATTAAAAGAAAAAATAAGTCATCAGCATGTGGATGGATATTAAAGCCGTGGGAACTGTGCAGTCTCATAATGTTGAGGTCCAATAGGGAGAAATGCGAAGAAAGTCTAAGAAAAAACTGTGAGGGACCAAGTATTATGCAGATCAATATTTCTACTCTTCTGAAACTTCTCTGACTTCCCGATTTATAATTCAATCAATTCTTTTTAGTCTACTCAAATATGCACCGGTCATTAGTCTCCTGTGTTGAAAAATCTCTCTCTATCACTCTTTTCGTCCTTCAATAAAACCTGTTTGAAAGTGCTTTCGTTTTTCAAGCTCATAAGAACATCAATTTTTAGGAACTATAAAGCTACTTTTATCTTCAACTTAGCCTTGTCAGTGATGCCCTTACAATAAATGATACATGGATTTGCACAAAATTATAATATAATATTCTTCGCCCATTCTGATCTGAATTTATTAAAACATATGGCAAAAAATCATTAAGATAAACAAAAATGTAACTAGATAGTCTTCAAGGATAATTGATAGACTTCCTCTTCTAACTGTTCCAAAAACAACTAGGAAAGTCAGGCAGAACACAAGAATCATTGATTAAAAGTGCGAAATTGTAGCTGAAACAACAAGGACCAGAGGGGCCAAGATTGTGAAAAGGGTAGAAAGAACTATGGAGTAGTGAACTGATTGTATGTATCTGCTTTTGCCATTGAGGGTATTTTCAGATTTATGACTGTGGTAGATTAAAGATACTGGTAAACTTTTTGTTACTTCCCTGACCAAAAGATGTAAGTTCTTTCCTTTCCCCTTTAATCTTGGCTGGCCCTATGAGTTGATTTAGACCTTTAGAATGTGGTAGAAGTGAAGTTGTATGACTTCAGAGATTAGGTCATTGTAGTCTTGCAGCTTCCACCTTCTTTTTGAGAACACATACTCAGGGGATCCACGTGCCATGTGAGAAGTTTGAATAACCTGAGACTGCCACACAATGAGGAAGGCCAACCCAGTCTCACTGAGAGGCTGGGGAAGGAGGGAGGGAGAGAAAGAGAGAGAGAGAGAGGGCAAGAAAGGATGTCTGGTCATCTCCCATCCCATCCAGCTATCTTAGCAGACATGTGTATAAAGTAGCTGTCTTGGACAAACAGCTCAATTGAGCCTTCACATGATTCCAAATCCAGTCACCATTGATCACAACTAAATAAATGACCCAACGGAGAACCACCTAACTGACCCCTGCCTAATCCCAGCACCATGAGTGATAAAAATTGTTTCAAGCCACTAAAATTTGGGATGATATGCTACAGAGAAATAGATAACTAAAAAAAGAGTGCAGAAAAAACACTTGGCCTGAGCAGTGAGCAGCTAGGGAACCAGCAGAACTCTGGGTGGTCTTGCAGGCTGGAGAAAACATACTGGAAACTTGAGGGTCTGAATGAAAAATCGTCAAGCAGTAGAATTTTGATTTTTACCCTTTCTGTATATACATTTCAAAAAA